ATATCCTCACCAACAGTGGCTCTCATCAACCCCTGATGGAAATGTTCTCACTCCAATAGGTTAATGAGTAAAAGTCATGACGTACTTGCTTAGACTGTAAATTGCTTCCCTCTAAACTTAGAGAGAATTCGGATTGTTGTCTCAACTTGGCTTCAGTGTTATCCAAGCCATTAACCTTTCTTTTACCTCATATTGTCACATTGTATATTTCCATTAAAAACAAAAAAATAAAAAACAAAAACACAACTAGGTATTGTTTTTATAGACTGTTGAAATCTGACTGTTGGAAACCTTGGGTTTTCTGTATTGTCAGAGTGAATTAATTAGGTGAATAATACTGGATTTTTAAAATGAATTTCACACTAGATACACCTCGAAAAATTCTTACAGAGCCGTAAGAAGAGAAATATGATGGGTCATGGCTCCAAAGAAAGGTTTTAAAATTTGAATTTGTCCTTACCTACTGGGGCAGTGTACCCTCCCCTTCTCCCTGCCTGCGGCCTCAGGGACCTCTTCTCACAAGGGCTAATGCTTCTCTTAAGCTGTGAAAAGCCTGCCATGAACACTCCCTGTTCAGAGTCTGAAAATCACAGATTAACTGTTCTGTCGTTTTAGTGCCTAGGACAACGTTTCCTTGCTTTCTAAATGGGAACATCAGAGCTGACCCTTGCTCAGGTAGAGTCTGAATGAGGATTTGGCAAAACAGTTCTGCAATAGGAAGTAGGTTCTCCTACTGCCATGGTTTTCAAGCTTTTTTGACTGCAACTCGTAACAGGAAATATATTTTTCATCACAACACGGTAGATATACTCCCAAAATCTCACTAAATTCGCAAAAATAAAAGTTTTATTAACACTGTTTAGCCTTACATTTTCATAGCATTTATCCTATTATTCAATCTATTTTCTTTCTTTTTAAAAACTGCTTGTCACAACCAACCAAAATGCTTTTACAACTCCGTAATGGATTTTGACTCGCAATTTGAAAAACACCGCATTGGAGAGTATTTTAGATTTCCAACTCTCAGAGTCAGATTTGTTTCATGATGACCTCTATGACAGAGCATCAAGCATATGAATGCCTCTTCTGACTTATTTGGTAACCATGCTAATCTCCAAAAGTAGAACCTGGGAAATTTATATCAGACCCACTCAAACCTTGCTTGTCTCCTTCCTTTCTGTAGTTCATTTATTGACTTATTATTTTTTTCTGTAACTATCTGTACAGTCTACATTTCAGGCAGTATCCAGGCATTGAGACACCAACAGTCAGTAAAAGCACAAGCATGCAACGGATGGCACATTGGGAATAAAAGAAGTTAGTCCAAAGGCATACAAGAAAATCGTTTCAAATTACAACAAATTCTGTAATAAGAATATGGCACTGCGTGTAACAGGGGACCAGGTTTAATATGGAGTGTTGGGAAAGTCTTCTGTGAGAAGTGACACTCGAACTGAGATTTGAAAGATGAAAAGGATGTATAACCAGGCGCTGGACAGCATCGTGAGTGCAGACTCAGGTCATAACACATCACAAGCTTCTAAGGCTGGAGGGGGCATGAACTGCAGGTTGGATAATGGAAGGAAAGGATCTTCAAGTTAAGGCTGGAAAAATAAACAGGGCAAGACCAAATATGTGCCTGTTGACTATGGAAAGAAGTGAAGGGATTTTTGAGGCTGGATAACATGATAAAAGCCACATTTTAAAAAGATAACTGCATTGTGGAGAATGGATTGGAGAGGTCCAAGATTGTGCAGAGAGAGCTATGAATAGCCTACTGCAGTGGTCTGGGTCAGGCATGATGGAGTAGGGTGGAACAGGGTGCTGATCTTTGACTAGTTATCTTCTTTCTTACTGAGCACATTTAGCAATGAATTTCACATTCCCTGGGACCAGACCTGTTAATTTTGGAAGTGTCAACTAAGAAATATATATATATAAAGTTACAGAGAGGCAACAGTGAGTCTGTGTGATAAATGGTGGAGGTACAAGGAAGCTCTTACTTTTTTATTTTAAAAAATCCCAGATCGGCTGGGAGTGGTGGCTCATACCTGTAATCCTAGCACTCTGGGAGGCCGAGGCGGGTGGGTCGCTCAAGGTCAGGAGTTCGAGACCAGCTTGAGCAAGAGCGAGATCCCGTCTCTACTAAAAAATAGAAAGAAATGATCTGGACAACTAAAATTATATATATAGAGAAAAAAAAATTAGCCGGTCATGGTGGCGCATGCCTGTAGTCCCAGCTACTCGGGAGGCTGAAGCAAGAGGATTGCTTGAGCCCAGGAGTGTGAGGTTGCTGTGAGCTAGGCTGATGTCACAGCACTCTAGCCCAGGCACAAATAAAAAATAAAAATAAATAAAAATTAAAAATCCCAGATTATGATATGAGCTTGAACATTCTAGATATCCCCCCATTATGTTATGCCCATGTATCTTACTGGGTAAAGTTCTGGAAAAATTAATATTTGTTCTACTCTCCCTCTGAGTTAAGAATTTGAGATAGAGGACTTCAGATCTGATGTGCTGAAAGAGAAAAGATGATTTTAACAGCCAAACCTGCCATCATGATTAAATAAACTTCTGTTTATACTGGCCAAGAGAAACATGTTGCTTCTTGCCTGGGCCTCTTCTTTCTTTGATTCATAATCCTCTGCACATTTGAACACTGCTGTTAACTTGCTATGTTGTTAACTTGCTACGACTGGCATCTTTATCAGTTTGTCCTTTGACTAAAAAGAGCTTAACCCAAGTCCCAGTAAAAATGTTTGTTCATTCAGGCTGAATTTAATAAAACTACATGTGCCCTCCCACCCCACCCCGCTTGTAGTTAAGTATAATAATAGGAGAAGAGTCACTGGTCTGTCACTGGGTTTCTGACCTGCATCGAGTAGCTTAACATAGTCAACAGCAGGGAGTGAACTGAATCTGCCCTGTATGCTAAGCCAGTCTGAATAGGTTGTTTCCACTGGCATCTCGTTATGTGTGTGGTTAGCACTCTCTTCTCCCTACTTTGGGTACCAACCCTCATACACCTCGCCATCCCTATCCCATCTGCCACCCAGCCCTAAAGGCCTTGCCCACATCCCATGAGCAATGATTCTTTGTGTTATATTATCTGAGAACAGCAGGTCCCAGGCATCATTACATGTTAACTAGCCCAATGTTGCTTACTAAAAGACCTGTAAAACACAATGAATATAATTTGTGTTCGTGTAGTTAGAAGGATTATGAACCAAATTGCCTAGATCCAGGGTCCTTTCCTGGTGGCCATTAAACCTATGGCCAGTCCTTGAATTGGGATGAAGAATGTCATTTTCCAAAAGAAAATCCCAAGTATGTGTTTCTCAAACTGTCACAAAGCACTTCCTGTGTTTCTGTCTAAATTCCCCCAAGAACTAAATTTCTGACATCTTCTGTGTGAATCAGTCTTCGCTGGTAAACAAAATTTTATTTATCAAACTAACTGTTGGGGACTGTTAGTCTTCATTAGAATGTTACTGCCTCAGATTAATGCCTCATTGAATTTCTTGTTTTTCATTTGTTTATAAGTCCCCTCCTTCTCCTTTACACAATGATAATTATAAAGAAGAAAATGTACTAAGTGCAGTTCTCCCAACCCTGAAACTCTAATTTATTTAATCAGCAAAGAACTTGTCACTAGGAGTTGCTGTACGTCCCTAGGCACTGCTGGCAGACACTTAATTCTTTGATTCAAATAAAAGTTTAAAATGTGGTCTTTCTGACATTATGTCTAAGGGAACATTTCAAAACAGTGTTGATATGGAGAACTTTATTATGACTAGAAATCATGTCTGTGCTTTGAGGGAAACAAAACAAATCACAGCAATAGGATGCATTTTTACAGGAGGCTCTTTGCACATAGCAGAGGCCAGTCCTCCTCTCTGCGTCTCTTTTGCTCTTTCAATCCTTCAGCCCCGTGCTCCCTCAAGCGTGAAGCCCGTGTCTGATCGTATGTCCTGCTTAAAACACTTTAATAACTCTGCGGCGTCTAAGACTCCTGCCATGGGATGTGGCCTCTGCCTTCCTCTCCAGACACAAGCTTCCCCATCAGACCTGTTGTTTGAGCAAATTCAAATTATTTCTCTTTCCCCACTTGCACTAGGTTCTTTCCCATGTCTGTGGTTGAATACGTGCTATTTTTCAAATTTTACTTTTGCACCTTGCGAACCCTTTGGCTCTACCATTCGTCAGGTGCTTAAGTTTGTGCATTTCCTCGTGTGTAAGTGGGAGCATGAGAGCGGCAGTGTGAGCAAGAACTGGGGTAGCACTTGCAGAGTGCCCCAGAGCCTGCCCCATCGAAGTCTCTCAATAGAAACATCAGATGTTAGCTTTGTTTTTTAGTTATTATGATTATCACTGTCCTTCAAAATTTTGCTCAGGTTTCACCTTTGCTGAGAAGCTTTCCCTTCCTCCCTATTCCAAAGAATGAATGAATTACTTCCTGGAACCGTGCTCTTACTTCTTCATTGTCCTTTTTATGTCTTTTTCTTATCATCAATGTGGAACATGATTTGTTATAATGTTGCTGGGTAGTGAAGTTGTTAGTATGGAAAAATGGGCACAAGAATGGTTCAAGGAGTGCCTGGAACTGATAGTATATGGTCCTCCTGCAACAATATGGTTAGGATATGATCATTAGCAATAAATGCATAAATGGCTTCTCTTTATTTCCTGGGGTTTATAGCTATGTAAGCAAACAGTTAATGAGTGCTTACTGTATGTCAAGCATGACAATAAATATTATACTTATCCTATTTATCCTTCGGTATGATCAGATTTGTTAGATATTCTTATTACTCCCGTATTACACACAAGGAAACTGAGGGCCTAAGGTCGTGGAGCTACTGATAGACAACGTACTCCAAAAGCCTGAGCTCTTAGCTCAAGAACTCTCTGCTCTGACCTGGAGACTCTCATTTGCCTCTGGGACTCTTTAGCATGTAAATGCATTTGATAAGTTTTCTCTTCTAATGCTATTCCAGGTATTCCTTCCAAGATGAGGAAGACATGTTCATGGTGGTGGACCTGCTGCTGGGTGGGGACCTGCGTTATCACCTACAGCAGAACGTCCGCTTCCTGGAAGATACCGTGAAGCTCTTCATCTGTGAGCTGGCCATGGCCCTGGACTACCTGCAGAGCCAGCGCATCATTCACAGGTCAGTCAGATCCCAGGGGACAGCCTTGAACGGAATGCGCAGGAGAGAATCCTCCACCTGGCTCATTCAACAAATCCTTGTTGAACATGACCTTTTATCTTCATTTAATTCTTGTAACAGTCCCCTTAGGTAGGTTGATTGTCCTCATTTCGCAGATTAAAAAAGAAAAAAATAAAACAACTCAGTACATAGAGCTTAATTTGCCTAAGGTCACAGTTAGTAAATGACATGACCAGAATCAATGAATATTGAAAGAAGAGAAAAATGTGGCATATAGGAACTTAATAACTATTCAATGAACTGATTGAAGTAGACATGGAGGAAGCACATAAAGGGAAAGAAATTGAATGGGGAGAAAGAAAATTCCTTGGGGAGAAAATTTAGGTCTTTCTAACATGTGCTGTCATTCAATTTATATTAAGTGAATCCCTAAAGTATGTACTGCAAATGGAGGTAACAAAAGCAATGTACCTCCTGCACGTAGAGCATTTGTAATAAGTAAAGACAAACAAATAACATAAGAAGCCATGAATCGACATAGACAATAGAGAGAAAAGGGTAATACTTTACATTCATAAATAAATTAGTAATTTTAATGATAATTTCACATGTAGTACCTTATTTGATCTCTGAAATAACCTGTGATAAATAATCACAGCAGATATAGTTAGACCAGTATGAAATAGGAGAAAATCATGATTTATAGACATTATCACCCAAGTTTATTTATAAGAGTTGTGAACCTAATCACCGTCAAAGCAGCTCTACTTACTGACTGATGGCTTGCTGTGTGCCAGGCATTGCTAGATACTTAATATACATTATCCTACTAAATCCTCAAAACTCAACAAAGACTCCCCATTTCATTATAGTGTCCCCATTACACAGACGAAGAAACTGTGGCTCAAAGGTTTGCCAAGGACAAACTGCTGACAAATGACATATTGCCAGGGTTTAAACCTAGATCTGTCTGACCCCAAAGTCACAGTTCTGTCTACTATACCACCTTGCATTAATTACACATATGAAACATATGCATTCATTAATTATACATTAGTAAATGAAAAATCAGCACATGTGACTCTGCTTCTGTCATCTCTAATCCTTAAAGAATTCTCTGAGTTTTTAAGTTCAATTATGTCTCATTTGGTAAAAAATTGGCTAGATACAATATCTGACTACCGCCAGTTGACATTTATTTGTAATTTATCTTGCTTAGTACGGAGCCTGTGGATAAACGTATAACATTACAATTTATAGATTCTCTGTGCCAATACCAACCTCCCCCTGTTTTTTGGCCTACACACTTAGTTATTATTTAATGTTCCACTTTTGGAAGGGCCTATTTGTATTGGAAATGTGCTCTTCGGGCTACAGAAAAATGGAAAGCAGACCAGTTAATCACGTAGGATCTCGGAAGTGAATTTGCACACCTGGTGTTTTGTCAATAACTGGGAATCCTGTTCTCAAGCACTCTTCATCCCATACTGGCTTTCTGGTCCCTCGTGTTCCTTTCTGGGGAGAAACTCTTCTATACGTAGTCTGTGGAATCCTTCTCAAAACCCTCATGCTCATTTATCTTCCCTGAATTGCCAACCGCAGCCTGTCTTGGTTGCTGACATCACAGCTATCAGAGAGGAGAAAGTCCCATGAGAAACCAGCGTGGCCTAAAAATGCCTTTTAACTCTTTCTCTTTCCCCTGTTTGAAATTGGGCTCTGTGCCTTCTTCCTGTGAGTTTCATTTTCTCTGTTGTCAGAAGTCAAGATGCTCCAAGCATTTTCCCAGGTCCTTAGGATTGTATAACAAGAGGAATGGAGGAGGAAAGAAAGTGTGACAAAAAACTGGATACAACTTTTCCTCAGGGAATTTATAGATATTGTTTTTCTGTCCTTCTCTCCCTTTATTCTCTTCCCTACTCTTTAGTGCTCATTTTGGCACTCAAATCAGAAACCAAGGGCTAACTTTCTGTTTCCTGTTCTTGAACCACCCCCAGTTAGTGCCTGTCCTCAGCAGGGCCTCTTCATACTGAAATATCTCCTTACCGTGGAAAAGGAACGGAAGGCAAACAGTGACGTTTTGAACACTGTGTTAAATCGAGGCGGCATCCTTCTGGGGTCAAAAAATGATGCAGGTGCATTTCTGTGGCCTACATGCCCCACCGCACCTACCGTGTGTCACACCCTACAGGCTGTCACAGCCTCTGGTACCTCTCCTGAGGAGCTGTGACGTTTTGGTGTGTGATCACTTAATTTATTTCTGTCTCCATTACAAAATTGTGAACTCTGTGAGTTCGGGGCATGTGCTGACTGTATAACCAGTATGTGGCAAAAATATGAAGCAGTGGACGCTGGCTGGGCCACAGGAATGACCGATTGACTATAAGCCCAGGCTGAGAAATAGAAAAAACAAAACTAAAATATAGGACATTAAAACCACAGATTTGAGACCTACCTTGGTCTTTACGTCGGAGTGATCCTATAAATTACCATCCAAACCAGGATACTCCTGAGAGCTCAAGAGGGCACTCTTAATTATGCCGGAATACAGTCAAAAGCCAGAAATATTCTGGGTAATTCAGGATGTCTATCAACATCATTAAGTCTTTTCAGGACAATAGTGACAAAATAGATGTTTTAATTCTGACAGAGCTCTGACAACCAGGATTTTCTACCCTCAGAGTACCAGATTTCAATTTGACACGATATATCTATTTGAAATGGTATCAAACGGCTTAAAAAATGTACATGGTAAAATAAGCAGTGTCCCTTTGTCTAAGGAATTTAAATGATATTCATGGTGGTGCTCAGACTGGCACTCACGGGTCAGAGTTAAAAGCATGAAGAGCAATGCAGAAGAAGAAATGGAGGCTTCTGAACACTGCAACTCTCTTTTTCAAGTCTCTTTTTTAAAAGAATCAGCAAAACTCACGCTGCATTTGATTGACTCTAAGCTAACAAAAGAAAACTTATCCTTCCGTTACTTAGAAGATTGGATTGTAAAACACATGCCGAGTTCAAGATATTAAAAGCGTGCATGAAAAAAGAATCGATGGAATACACAGTAGATTCCCCAGACGAGGAGAGACCATCTGTGTAAGATTGCAGTTATGAAATATATGACTTCCTAATTTCAGATTAAAAACTACATTTTGCCCCTGGACATGGTAGAAGATTCAAAATTATCCATAAACTGTCAGCAAATCTGTGGGAACAGGAACAGCAGTCAGCTGCCATATACTGAGGGCTTCCGGGGTACCAGGCGCTCTGCTAAGCACTTGTGGTGAATTATTTCACTCCATCTTCCCATGACTCCAGGAGGTTGATGGTGTTATTGTCCCCATTTTACAGTCGATAAAACTCTGGTTCAGAAATATTGAGTAGCTTGCCCAGGGTTGCATGGCCAGTCAGTAGATGAGGCATCACGTTAAGGAGATGCAGAGCTCTTAACCGCTCTCGCCCTACCAGTTCTCAGCACAGTAGCCCTGCGGAGGGCATGGGACAGGTACGCATGGCCACCTGCCTCAGCACATGCGGTGTGGCTGCACAGGCAGAGATGGCACGTATGAAACCAACAGACGAGAGAACAGCCTAAAACTAGAAGCTAAATTGTGTCAGAAAGACTGAAGTACTTCAGAGAAGATGGTTTGGGAGAACAAAACAAAGTTTCGTGAGAGCTCAGGGGATTTAAAGGGGATTTTAGGCTGGGTGCTATGGCTCACACCTATAATCCTAGCACTCTGGGAGGCTGAGGCGGGAGGATTGCTTGAGCTTACGAGTTCAAGACCAGCCAGAGCAAGAGCGAGACCCCATCTCTACTAAAAATAGAAAAATTAGCTGGACATGGTGGCACATGCCTATAGTCCCAGCTACTTGGGAGGCTGAGGCAGGAGGATTGCTTGAGCCCAGGAGTTTGAGGCTGCAGTGAGCTATGATGACGCCACTGCACTCTACCCAGGGTGACAGAGTGAGACTCTGTCTCAAAACAAAAAGCGGGGGCGGGGGGGTGCATTTAATAGCCAAGGCAGAATGGAGGGTCTAGTCCATGCAAGGTAGGCTAAATGGATGAAAATCTTTTGTTTGTCTCCCTGTGGTAACATAGAAAGGGCTCTGTTTTTAATTTTTCTCATGTCAACTTTTCCACCAGCAATGTCTAGCTTAGTTATTTTTTAAAACACCATAGGACCTATTTCTGCCATAAATTCCAAATGAAACATAAATGAAGTTTAGTTTTATTTTGTTTGTGGATTTTTTTAATCTACAGACTTGAATTTTTTTGTAGTTTCCTAAATATGTACAATATTCAGCTAACTCGCCTCAATTTCAGAATTTTTCTTTTCTATAGTTGTTAAAGACACAAGGTTGCATAGTAACCATTAATTTCGAATTGTACAATTACATGATCATCTTGTGAGTCAGGAAGTCAAACATTTTTCTGTGAGTATACCTTGAAATCAGCTTTAGTTTACATAGTATGGCCAGTTTCAAGTATAATATTCTCCTTCTCTTACTGTAAACCAGTGAATAAAGGCTTTAAGGTATGGATAAAGTGATTATTTGTTTTTGTTAAAAAAAAAAAA